AAATTACGCGCGTGTAGAGGTAGACGATCAGCGACAGCATCGCTGCTGCATCGCGTTTGCTTCTTACGTCATTAATTACGCTGTTATTTTTTGTTTTTTTTTATTATAATACCAAGTGACGGGACGAACAAGTCATGCCCCTGGTGGAAAGCGACTCGCTTGGCCATAGCAGTTGCAGTGCCACTCAGAGTTTTAAATTGCAAAGATCTGAGGGGCATTCCCACTGCGCCCATCACCTTGAGACATAAGGTGTCAAGTCCCATGTGCCTGTAATTTCATTATGTTATTACTAGTAATTGCTACTTAATGGCCATTAATTGGAATAATTTATTACAGAATGGTAATAGATCATAATTCCATATTTTTCAATAAATAAAAATAAGCGTATTTCACCACAAGACTCAGAAATTACTTACAATATTGGCATAGTAGTTTAAATAAAAGTAAGTAATGTGGACAAAAGGTTAACGCATTCACTGCCAGCATTGTTTTTAGGACTTCGCTCAGTGCTTCAAACGCTCGAGTTTGACGACTATCCAGTGCACTAACGAAAATATGAGTTTATAGTAAATTGTCATTGATTCATTCTCTTCCAAACCAATTATCCAAACAATGCTCCAGATTTTGAAAATTCCTGATTTTTTATATACCTTTTTTATATACCCGTATGCTATTTTAGGACCAAAAATTAAAGTGAGATAAAAGACATTAAACAATAATAATAATAATAATGTAATAATAATAAAAAAAAAAAATATTATTCGCCGATATGGTGACATCACGTAACATTTAGCATGGCAAGGTACAATTTGTGGCTATTTTAAAACACTCCATAACTATGAAATATTATGTCACTTAATACTCTAACTGTTCAATATTTATAGTTTATAATATTTATAGTATATAGTATTATATAAAAAAATATAATATATCATTTTTTTTATAGAAGTTTCATACATGTTTAAATTGTATGTAATTATCTTATGAAGTATATTCGCGTCCTTAAAATCGGCTCTAACTTTATAATTGTGGAACATAGCTAACGCGACCATACGTCCCAACCGTTTGAGCGGAACAGTCCCGTTTTAAAGCTTCGTGTTCCGCTGTCTCCAAAATATATAACAATGTCCCGTTTTAATGTATACACGTGATATTATTTTTTTTTAAAGTGTGCGAAAGCGAAAAATATACATATAGCCCATGAGACTATACCTAGCGATAAAAGAGCGTCGTTTTTTATAAAATTTGTTTGAAATTGAATAAATAAAAAAAGACTACACAATATTAGTTCAAAACGACTACAGAATATTAGTTCTTTTTTTAAAACATTAAACATTTTTAGTTTTTTTTTCATTTTTGTAACTTTTTAAGTTTAAAACAATAATAAATTTATAGGCGTCCTGCTCTCAGAGAAAAAAAATTAATGATCACGACATTTGCGTTGACGACACTTGGCAAAGATTTCGAAATGTATAAATTTACAGTAGCGTTCAAGGCACTGGGTGAAAGTCAGATGAACGCTCACACATTGCTGGTATTGAATGCGTTAAAACAGTCGGCTGATTTTCAGTTTAAACTCGTAGCTATTCGCATGCTGCCTCATAAACTCTAGTTCCTAAGTAAATTTCAAAACTTTATTGTCAAATTATTTTCCACAGCGGAAGGCGATTATGAGGAAGTGGTACACAATTTTAGTTGTCATCTTCATGCAACGAAGTATTGGTTCATGCGTACGTCGTTCGCGAATAAGAAACGTTTCGTGATAGCACTTTTAGACGATCTACGGAGTGCCTGGGCGCTCTCGCTTGTTCTCAAGTCTATATGGATCTGTCGTACTAAAGATTGTGTGCTTTCTTTTTGGAAGTAAGTTACCGGCGTTGTAGTACGTTTTTCACAGCCTTTATTTGGTCAGTGATAAGCCTTCAAGGGCGTCTAAGCTTAAGAGCGTAAGGCTGTGTTTTTTAAAATTAGCTTAATTTTTTTTTAGTTATTATACTTAACATGTCTGTGGTTGAAACGGGCCACAACAGTCCGAATTTTGGATTCGTGGCATTGATTCAGCGCGTAGAGGGTCTCAAAGGAATTTTTGAAGGATAGACAATCCGGGTATCATCGCCGGTCGCTGATGCACCCCGGTTGCGCTTTCTCGGTGCCTGTCAAGGGCAGGGTGGTGTATGACATACTTCATTATTCTCTTTAATATATTCGGGTCTCGAGCAAATCTGCTCTGTCGCTCCTCTCTAGTAATCCTTGTGAGGCTTTTGGACATTTTCTGCGAGGTGCCATAGTCGCGCTACCTACTTTATCACTCGTCACAAGCTGCTCTGTAGATTTATTATTATTGTTCACAGTCATCCAGAAACTATGAGTCCGTACGATCAGATCCCTCTCGATCACAATAGGACGGCGCAACCAGTGAATGACCTCGCTCAAGTTATGACTGATGAGCGACGGTGGTTCCGTACTCTTGATCCTGTAAGTGACTCGTTCAATTCTCTACGACTTAGGCCGTAATTACTTAGATATAGCAGCAATAACTGTATCTTGGGAAATCTTCATTACGGTGTAACGATTTGCTGTCACAATGTTAGATGTCGCAACCTGTTTAAAGGAAATTCTCGTTTTTAACTCGATGGTAACAGAATATAGATTTCGACGACCTCAGTGGCCCAACGGTTTCTATTTCCGTTATGACCAATTTGGGATATGAACTTTCTTAAATTGGTTATGGTCTGGATGTTCTAGGTAAATACCCTGAAGTGAATTTCGTGGCTCTGAGTACTCACAGTAGAGTGAATTCCCGAGTTTGAGATCAGGTAATTGGTGTGCATGTCTGGCGCGTAAAAACATATAATAATTATGCACAACTTATTTTCAGGAATCTCAAGCAATGACGCTATTAGAGCTGTTATATATAACTGGAAGCCCTCTGATGCGGGATGTCCTTCGTATTGCGCAACACATCTATGAGTATAATCGTGATCTCCAGCTGCAAAACCTCTTCGAATGTATCGTAGTGGGCGAGGTGCTACAGCAAAATGATCCGGTTTTAGCTACTGACCAGGTTCGAATATGAATTAATCTAATCAACATTGGCTTGCTGTTTCTACAATTGATGGCTTTGACGATACGACTTTAATGGAAACGGCTTTTGATTTAGTTTTCGAGAAATATTTAGAAAACAAATCTTCGGTGATAGAAAATTTATCATTATTATCATCATCAACCCGTCTACATGTCTCATAGCTGGGCACAGGTCTCCTCACAGGCGAGGGTTTAGGCCATAGCACACCCCGGACACTCCATACAACGGTTGAAAGTTATTTACCTACTACTACTACTACATACAACAAGGCGCTATCTGCACATGCGCAAATGTGTGCGTGAAGTGGCAGGATTACCCATTACTTTCTCGTAATATTACCTGGTCAGAGCGAAAACGTAGCGAAAATTCTACCTCGAATCTGTTATCTATAATTCTATTAATAGAATTCTAATAATTACACATGTTCATTAGGTATTTATATCAATATAATATTATATTTTTCATTCATTCGGAAAACGAAAGAAACTCATCTCTTTATCCCGTCTAAATGATGATAAACAGCCGTACATAGCACGACTCACGACACGAGCATTATAAATAGTAATATACAATGATGTTATGTATTAACGTACAAGTTTCGTAATCAATAAATGAAATCTATGTTCAAATATCAAAACCGTCTTTGCGCGCGAAAATGGCTCGCCGGCAGTCTTGTTGCCGTTCAGTCAAAGTGTCCGTCAATGTGCGGGGCGTGGTGCGGTATCTAAAGCTAGGGAGGGGCGGAGTGTCCATTCTCGTTACTTTTTTGTTTTCTGGCCTTAGTCCATCACGCCGGCCCAATGCGGGTTGGGGACTTCACAAGTTTTTCCGAGGGTTTTGAGCCTTCTTCGACATGTACGTTTCATCACGATGCTCGTGGTAAGTTTCAAATTAAATTAAATTTCGCACTTAAATTCCGAGAAACTCGAAGGTGCGAGCCCTAACTCTAACCCACGGCCTCTGCTTGAGAGACGATAGACCAAACCATTTGGCCATCTATAAAATAAATTTATCAACGGATACAATTTATTGATATTTTTATTGCAATTTATTTGAAAAACTTGACTATTCCTAGAAGTAATCATTTTCTCAGATTAAAAGAGACTCTTCTCCAACGAAACCCAAGACTGCAGGAGTGTCGGGATCTGGCAACGGGGGGGATAGTGCTAAAGCGTCTCCTGTTAGAAGTGCTCAGAAAAACGTAATTATGGTTACTTTACACACTTAGTAATAACAAATTTTAACAAGACCAGTATGGTAACTCCATAGAAACGTAGCAGTGCAACCTGTATGCATGCGTGCGTGTCTCGCGTCGTTTATAGACGTACAGATTCGTGTAATAATGAAAAGCGCGTGGGAGAATATGCGAATGTGTGCGTTCGCACACGGCACGCGCAGCAGGCGTGCACATGGATGTGTAGCTGCAGCTGTTTGTTCATACAAACAGCTGCAGCTTCATAGTTACCATGCTTGTCTTATTATACTAGGGTAATATTCGATAAAATACCATACAAATAAAAGCATAAACAAAAGACTTAAAATACATGGTATAACAGGAATCTTAAGGAATAATATTCACACAACGTATCTAACTTATTTATTATGAATTATAATAAAATGACATATTTTTTATTTTATATTATTTTTATTTTATTTTATTTTATTAATTAGAGTAATAGTACATTACAGTAATATGCGTTGATGAATGAATACTAATGTAATTATGCACATACGTTCTATATAAAAATAAAAATAGCACACGTATATAATTGGTTTAATGTGTTTCTTACGCGAATAGAATGGTTATCATTACTTAAGGAAAAAATTAACGATTGCATAATCGGTACTAACGTAGGAAATGAAAATATTTTTCCGGATTTAAATCGCGTATATTTGTTTTTTCAAACAAACCGACGTTTCTTTTCTGTACTAACTTGTTATGGTGTTATTCGTGTAAAAAGGGTGTTTAGATAGGGAATAATATTATTATGTTCATTACGTGGTCAATGAGATTAATGTACTTTTATAAATATCCATAGAAATACCTATTACAAAAAAATATTACAAAGTCTAATTAACGCTCTAAATACCGAATATGCAATAAAATGAAAACTACCGCAGCAGCATATTACCACATTATTCGGTGGGAAGGGCGAATTAAAATAAATGCAAAAAATCATATTCATTTACTCTAGACAAAATACTCTTTTTTTCAGTTAGAAGAGAATGAAGCCGCGTGGAATTCAGTTATAAAAACGATCCGTGATTCTCAAAAATTGGAAGAATTCGAGATGACCTTCAAAGATGGCACTACGAGAAAGATTTGGAAAGTCAATCGGCCTAAGCCTGAGGTTATTGAAACCGTTGATTTTGTAAGTTTTATCTGGTGTCAACTGCCTCCCTATTAATTCCCATTTACCAATAAGAGTCAACTGTATAAGTAAGGTCTCTAAAAAAAAAGAAGAATCAACTGTATAAGTAAGGTCTCTAAAAAAAAACAATCTACTATCGCCACATTGCTTATAAATAGGGTTGGAAATCCCAGTGAAGCTTAATCCAAGTGTTTTTTTAAAGTTCCTTTTTTTGTAAAGCTTAGCTCTAATTTGAAAACATAAAATTAGTCGTATGTTATTTTTTTCAGTAATTTGTTTTAAGTTCTTGTTAACACTTGTTAACACATTGTAGGGTTAAAAAGCTTTTGGAAAGGTAAAGAGGTACGAAATGAAAGGGTAGGAGAATTGCAAGATAAAACAATACGTTTATAGGTATACAGAAAAGAAACAGTGTGTTAGAGTGTAGGTAGTTGTAGTAGAGTAAGTGGTGTAGTGTGTAAATGAAAATAAGAGAAAATGAAGGCACGAAGTTAGAGGCCTCTGCTCTCGAATGTTGAAGACCGATAACGAGGTGCAGGACTGGAGAGCAGTGAAGTTCTTGGCTAGACAGCGGCTGTAGAGCAGGTCCGAAGAGTAGCGAGGTTGATGATGAAACTGCGGTGGTAGTGCAGCAGTGGATATACCCACTGTAGCAACACTTGGTAATCGGGAGGTGCAGTTCTACGTCATCCCGAGCGCCGGCTTCGGTTGCACCTGTGGCGCGTCACACTTATACAACTGCTCTACACTCGCGTGGTGAAGGTGACGGTTCAGGCAGGATGAGCGTAAATGTGAAGACCAGGCTTAGCGTGAGAAAATTGAATAATTTAACCAGGTAAGACCAGGTGTAGGGTTCCAAAAAACTGAGGCTTCGGATGTCTACTACGATACTATGACTCGCGTCAGTCAGCCGTGATTATGAGACCTGTAAAGGGCCCTAAACGTCAGTTTGTTTGAAAAACAAATATACGCGATTTGGATCCGAAAAAATAGTTTTATTTTTTGTTACAATCGCGAAAATCTAAGCAATCGATGTATAAAGATGCTGCTATTTTGTAATCTCTAACTTTCTTTTTGGTTCACTAAATGTGCCGGTGTGTGTACATTCTAGCTGCAATTACTACCTGCGACCATTGGCAAACGCATCCTGTCTTTACTGCCTAAGCAATCATTGGGAGAATGCGCTCGTGTAAATAAGTACTGGGCTTATCTCGTTGAAGACATGCATGTTGAATGGGTCGCTAGAAACAAACTTAACAATGACATGGAAAAGCTACAGGTTAGTTTAAAATTCTTATAAAACGAACTTTGACATTGACTATGTATAAACTAAGCAAGTTTTTAGTATTTACAAAATTTTACTTAAGTTTAAGTAAGAAATTACTGAGTAAACACAAAGTTTAATTTAATTTCTTGTTTAAATTTAAGCGAAGTTCGTATTGTAAATACGAAACATTTACTTAACTCGCTATTTTTTCGTATTCGAAGTCAAAATTCATTTTGTAAATATCAGCCGTTACCTGCTACTTCCTGGACCACTTCTTTATACTATAAATGTTTTAGTAGTAGTAGGGCTCCTTGAGGAAGAGTTCCTCCAGGGAAGTCCAGCCACCTTACCTATTTCTGCCGATAAGAAGTAATGTGTTTCGGTTTTCAAAGGTACGTGTGTTGGTGAAACTATAGGCTCATGGGACTTTTCAACTTAAGTCTCAAGGTGACGGACGCAGTGACAGTGCCACTCTGTGCGGCTCTGCAAATGTTCTGGACAGACGTGTTGCTTACCACCTGGCGCACGATTTGTTTGTTCCGTCCCTTAATATAAAAAAAACACTGAAATACCTCAGTATATTATATATAATTATGTTATATATAGTATATATAATTATGTTATTGGAAAAGCAGCGTATGCTCTGATGTCGGAAGTTTCTTAGTCTAGCCAGCTTGTTATATTTATGTGCACTAACATACCAATGTAATGCTTAAAGTTGTATATTTCTATTTACATGATTACGCTGTTGTAGGTCCGTGTTTCTTTAGTAGTAAATACTTATTGACAGATTTAAAATATTAATTGTTATATAATACTAAGGTTTTAAGGTTTTCGTATTGAAAATAATTAAGAATATATATGTCACAACAGAGGATACACACAACATAATAATATGTAGGTACCGCTCTCTCAACATCCAGTCGATGATGCAACAGGAACGACTGAAAATCAGCGTCTCTCTCGCCAGAGATAGACTTTTTGCTGAGTCGTCTCCTTTTCCTCTTTTGTGTCACTTTGCATTCTTATTTATAGATTATTTAATAAATAGCTATCAATTTAATATTATGTTTATAGTTTAGAGATGTAAAGTGACTTAAACGTTTTTCTTTCTTTCTTTCTTTCTTTCTATATTTTATGTTTTACAGAGGTAGATTCTCTTAACGGTTTTCGGCCATTACAGGAGATGATGCTAAGACACGACACCAGCATGGATATATTTACCAGCATCCCAAATATCACAGGCGGCCCAGTCTCAGTAGCTACGGGTTCCATAACGCAATCAAATACAAAGAGTGTTACGCGCAAATATTCACCTAGCGTGAAGACTAGCGAGAAATCTACTTTCTCTTTTAGGCATTATTTCGATGAAAGGATGAGGACTACTGTTAGAACCGTAAGTTGTAATATGTAGGAACACAATGTTAAAGCAGGGAAGAGCTGGATAATACCGAGCCCCTATCTATTATGTGCAGGTTGGCTTTACAAAAATGAAGTTTTTCTTCTAACCTATATCAGTCAGATTCATTTCTGTTCAGAAAGCCTAATGCATTCATAAACAATTTTGAAACTGATAACCGTGTAGCCAAAGCTCGATAAAAACTATGATAAAATTTGTTTAAAAACTATGAAAAAGTACGAAGCTATGGTAAAAACAAATTTATTTAAAAGGATATGTATTTTCGGTTACTAAGCATTTGTTTCGCAGGTTTAGTATATTAAAAAATTAAGCTGTCCTGTTATAGGCTTTATTGTAATTTGCACAAGATTGTGATTGTTGTGAAATATGATCCATTTTAATTTTATTATTATTATTATTATTTATTTTAATTATTATTATGCATTTATTGTTCAGTAACTGTTACAATTAACACCGCTTATTGTTACAGTTAGCGTCAGATCACTGCGATATCATTTGCTTTCGGAACCTTTATTTTTCCTCCATTTTTAAGTATATGCCAACTTAAAAATACACTTCCTAAGTCAATGCTTCCGGACACATAATTCGAGCCACCACACATTTCCAGTATTAAGTGCCCTAAGCTTAAACAATGTTTGATTGATGAAAAACTATTATGCAAATTTGAAACTAGTATACTAAACGTCTTTTCCATAAGTCCTTGTTAGGAATTTGGATTTGCAAAACCGGGGTAAAACTTTTTCTTCGACGATAACACTATTTTCGTATTCTTACCTTTACGACAAAAATGCGAGGTTGCTCGAATTGTGCGTCTGGGAGTATATATATGTATATATAAGAGTTTATAAATATACTTTTCAAGCAAGATAATCGGCTACTAAAATGTTAACAATAAATAATCGTCGGCAAATAAGGCAATTCACACACGGCGTCTTTCACAGTACAGATGTGTGTGAGCAATTCTATTCAAATCAAAGCTAAACTCATGGTGTTGTTGCGACAGACGTACCTAACAGTATAATGGAAAATTATCACCTTAACCAGTATTAAAGCACGAAATACAGTTTTCGAATTGATATTTCAAAAAATCTTAGAAAAGCGCCAGCCATTAAAGAAACAAGTAGTTCTGATTAACACTTACCTTAAGTACCTGGTTGCCTGGGGGTCGATTCAGAACCTTACGATAACTCACTTGTCGACCGATTCGATTTGATATTGTACGATTTCTTTTCATTTTTATTCACAACACCCGAATCGAAACCAGACCGAAATGACGTCACACCCGTACGATTATTCGAACTTCTCGATCGGCAAAGGCTACAAACAGTACTACTTTTTTTAGAAACCAAAGGCAATCCAGAACTTGGCGGAGTTGCAGGAGCGTTTAGATCGTCGCGGTGCTGCCGATGAACATCTCGACCAATGGTGCCGTTACATCATTAAGATGACCAAGACAAAAAAGAATGTAAGAATAAATGGGTTTTAATTTTGTTACTATAGGTCAACACTTGATGATTGTATATGACTATAAATTAGAGTTGCACCGAATTTAGTAGCAGTAGAGCTCCTTGTGAACGAGTTCGTCCAGGGAAGTACTGTCCTTACCTATTTCTGTCGCGAAACTGTAAGTACCCATAGCATTACTGTGTTTCGGTTTTGAAAGGTAAGGGTGCTGGTGAAATTACTGGCACATGGGACTTGTCAACTTATGTCTCAAGGGTGACAGGCGCAGTGGCAGTGTCTCTCAGCTCTTTGTGATTTAAAGCTCTAAGTGGCACTGCAACAGCCATGAACAGGCGTGTCGCTTAACACCAGGCGCACGACTTGTTTCTCCGTTTCTCCTATCACTTGGTATCAATAAAAAAATAACATAAAAAATATTCGGTTACTATACGGCATGCGCCTTATTCGGACTTTTTTTATTCGGCCAAATACCATAGGATAGCAGATAATAAAAGAAAGAAATAAGAAAAAAAACGAATTTATCACATAGCTAATATTAATGCTGAAAATTGACATTGCAAGTCCGAGAAAGCATAATTTTCCTTATTTATGTAAAAGATTCAAAGGAAATGTAACTTGACTAAGTTATTTTCCTATGAAAACAAAAAAAAATTACAAATCAAATGAAATCTACCAACGAACTCTTTGTAGTTGAGCCATGACTAATAAAGGCAAACAATATTTCAAGTGTACTTATAATATTATATTATTTGCAAACTAAAATATAAAAAACAGCTATAAAAAATATAAAAAATGTTAATCAAACTGAAGTGAAATGATAAACAACATTTTAAATTATAAACTTGACAATCCAATTACCTGTTTTGTTAAATGTACAAAATGATTTATCATAAGTGAAGGTAATTAGTTTGATTTTTCATGCCAGTTTTAATTTTTATCAGGCCAAACAGTTTGGCTAAATTCAATATTCCGGCAGAGGTCGAATATACTAATCGTTGCAACACTATTTTATGTGTTTTTATGATATTTAATTTACCTTAGAAGGTACAAATTGTTTACATTACCTACAACGTAATGGAAAGTAGAATAAGTAAATAAGCATTGATAACACAGTCAGGTGAAACAGACTATATAGAATTGAGATAAACAAATTTTCTTTATAATTAGTGAATGCGATGGGTAAATAAACCAACGTATTATTTATTACGGATACGCTTGCCTTTCAGATAGATTTGAGGTAGAGCTCGAAAGCTTAAGTATCTACTCGATAGTTGATGAATTTGTGAAAAATCAGACAGGGGTCTACGTAAAACAGAAAAAAATGGCACGTGGTCTACAAAATAACAAAAAGTCAAAGTCAAAGATCATTTATTCCATGGGTAAAATAAATTTACACTTGAAAACGTCACATTTAAGCTACTGCTCGTTCACTACGCTGACTTCCCTGAGAAGAACAAGCAAGAAACTCCAGGGATTGCTCTTTTCAAATAAACTTAAATGCTATGGAATACACTTTGAATCAAATTTGTGTGGATTCTGGAGCCGTGTCGTCTTTCCTTACATCTTTATCTAACGCGTAGTCTTGAAGTTTGTAATATGACTTTTCAATCAAAATATTTTTAAACTTAGGAAATGATAATCTTAATATATGCTCCGGAATCTTATTGTAAAAGCGTATACAGTTCCCCATAAAAGAGTCGTTTACCTTGGTTAAACAATCGTGGTACCATTAGTTTGAACTTAGCTCTAAGGTTAATATTATGGATATCTTCTTTCTTGTTGAAATTATGTATATTTTTATGGGTATATAAATAAATAAAAAAATAAAAAAAATTGTAACTTGTGATGTATTATTTAGGCCAGCCTAAATGATATATCACAAGGTAGCAAATTTTTTATCAAATTCATTTTTAAAATTTGTTACCAAATGTTAAAAATTAATTTGATAATGTATTTAAATCGAAAACTTTATTTAGGATTACAATTAATTGAAACTATCAGTGCAAAAATGGTGTAACCCACATTTAAAGTTTATCTACAATATTACTTTAAATGATAGTAAACATAATTATTTTATAATTGGATGCTGTTTCATGTATGAAAAATATTTTATTATTAAAACAGGATGATAAAAATCACTATTTTTTTTATAATTTATACAACATTTAGTGCAATAAAATGAAGAAAAAATCAAGTCAATGAAAAAAATCCCAATTTTTTTGCTGTTTTAAAATGTCCCAATAATCTGTTCCGCGTGATTTCCTCAACGTAGTACACAAAACATTAAAATATATTAATTTAAATCCCTCCTTATCCTCTATAATATTTTGACCGGACACGTTCCATTAAACACTGTTGCTATTTTAATGAAAAAAAAAAACAATTCTCCTAATTGCGAGTTATGAGCAGTAGTGGAAGATGCTTAGCATTTGTTCCTGGAATGTGTCCAGTACAAACAACAGAGGGCGGTGCTGATGAGAGACCTGCAGATCAACCGATCATCCTTAGGTGTTTTAAATTGTACATTAAGCAGTCCTCACACGAAACAAGCAAAAATACTATTACTTTTTTAAATTTTTATTGAATTGATATTCAATTGAATATTGAATATATGATATTATAATATATGATATTCAATAACCGCCTCCGTGGCCGAACGGTTACCATGCCAGACTGCCATGCAGAGGTCCCAGGTTCAATTCCCGGGTCGGGAGAAATATTTGTATGGCCTACATTTATTTCTCTCGTGAGTTTGGATGTAATTTGTGGTTGTCTACGTGTGTGTCCATGGCACCCGCGACACAGGGTTTCCCTAGTGCGGGACTATGTTGAGTGTGTACGTTATTATTATTATTGTTAATTATTTTTGTGAAATTACTCCACTAGTTTGTTATAATTATTAATACAAATATCGAACACTCAGAAAAAAATCCTTCGATCCGGCCGGATTCGAACCGACGTCTTCTAGCATGCCGTGCCAGACGCTATACCAACGAAGCAATGGAACGAACCAGCGGACCTCACGAATTTTTCTATGTGCTCGTTGTCGTGTCTTTGTATTTGGTTTTTCAACGAGTTTTTAGTCGTAGCGCCATCTATGGGAAATCTATGAAAGTTTTATCACCCAGTTAGATACCTTTGCAGCTACCAGCCCTGGCGAGAGATGTCGCTATTCACTGTATTTTAAATTTTTATTGAATTGATATTCAATTATTTTTGTGAAATTACTCCACTAGTTTGTTATAATTATTATGTATTGCCAGACGCTATACCAACTAAGCATTATGCTTAGTTGGTATACAGCAGCAGTATACTCCAACAGCGCCGCCCAGACAAAACTGGCATATACATTGTATAAAAGTTCCTAAATAAATAAAGATTTTTAAAAAAGTTACACAAGTTTTGTACTGAAAGCCTCAATTAGAATTAATTTAGTGGATGAAAGACAATGCACTGTTGGAAATAAAAAAAAATTAGAGAAAAGGCTTTTCGCCAGTACCTATAGGTATGGTAGAAACTGATTTACAATGTGAAGCTAGAATAGTGCCTGGTAAGACAAATTTGATTTTATAGCCCAATGCCGGATCGCTTCTACGGTTTGAAGACGCTCGTTTTCCGACGCCCCTGATGAAGTATGATTTACAGTTACCATTAGAGCACAAAATCAAGAAGGACCCAGCAATCGCGTTAGCGTAAGTGATACCACTGAACGTTATAAATTGAAATTAGGTTCCTTCACGTTTGGATTTAATTTTCCATATAACATCAGATAGACCAACTATTATTATACTATTATAACTATCCTGTCATGGGTATTTTTTTAAATTTCTTGCTTATTGTCCTTATTTATATTATATGTATTACATCTTATTTGAAAAAGAAATTAGTTTCCTATAACGACATTTTTTTATGACTTTTATAAGTACGCACCTAAATGAATAGCAATTAATTTCAATAAGCTTTTTATCTATTGTTTGCTTTTGCTGATTAAAGAACCAAAGGGTCGATTGTAGGAATATTCTTTAAAAATAAGTTTTTGGTTTGACATTGAATTTCGCCAAGTAATGTTTGAATAATATACAATATACATGTGTTTTTTAAACTAAGATAGCATGGGAAAACCCAAAACCATGTATAACAAGGAAACTTCGACTATCATTGGTACATTGCGTGCACTCACTGTATGAAAAATAGTTATTTGTTCAACAAGAGAGCAAAGTCGTTTTTTGGTGCGAGTGCTGTTTTTGAGTCCTGAGCAAGCGAAAGATTCTATAGTTGAATCACGAGCGTAGCGAGTGATTCAGAATTAGAATCTTGAGCGAAGCGAGGGACTCAAAAATACGAGCTGCAAAATAACTTTGCTCTCGCGTGATACATACAACTTTTCACCTCAGCAGCGAGAACATATATATATACTAAAGGGACAAGTAATAAAAACACGTCATGAAAGCAAATGCATCATTGTATATTTACAAAAATACAGAATTTACAAAAAATTAAAAGTGGAACGTGAAGTTTGTACAATTCTGTAGATTAAAAGTTACTGTTTTATTTGGTAACAGTAATCGTCGTAGTGTTTGCTACTTGAGTAGTGGTCGAGGTTTCATTATGAGTTGAGCTGGATTGTGACCCTTCCCGCACCGTAAAAGTTGGTGATTCTGGGCGGGTTTGGGTATGATTCGCATCACTGGAGGTGCTAGGTTGTGCCCAAGAATGCGAAGTCTGTTTTAGGTTTATCGAATCTATAATACGCTTACAGATTTTTGATTTATTTTCTATTGAATCTTCGATATATCCTTCAGCCACTGTATTTGATCTCCAACCGCCATGGCGCTTCAACGTTGTGAGGTCAGCTCCTCCATCTGCCAAAAGAGTGGCTGATGTTCGCCTGAAGCAGTGGCCAGTGTATAGCTGCGGCTCTTTCAAATCTAAAAATGTTGCGATTTCTCGTGCAGTCGCTCCTATTTTATTAATACCCATCGGTTGCCGCGTACATTTTCCATTACGATATTGTATGAAAAAGCGGTCTGTGATCGTATTGGGAGGGCGCAATGCTTTATATTTCTGGACAACGTGTGCGTATTCCACACGGACGACGAACGACCTGTCTATATTTGTTTTCGTATTTGGCAGGTTAATCAAAAGAAGGTCGCTGGAATGTTGTTCAATGGCATTAGGAGTTAGATTCAATAACTCGTTGGAGCGGTATGCTCCGTTTATTCCAATGATAAGGATGACCTGAAACATAAATAAAACGTCAATAAGTATTGTGTCTTTTAGAGCAGTCTTAAACGTGGATTTCTCATAATATGTAGCGTTATTTTTAACCATAAAGTTCCAATACAAGTCGCCAAAACAACACATTTAAGTAGGTAAGTATAATTATGTTGATAGAAATTGATAACATAACTACCAAAGTCCAAATTGTATTAACAATTAAAATATAACGCTACGACAACAGTAATAATATTCAATACTTACTTTTGCGGCTAGGAAAGTGCAATCTGGAGCTTCATTAAGAAATTTTTCAATATTAGCAGCCGTGAAAACTTTCGATTTTTTTGATTTGTGGCCGACGGCCGATCTTTTCAAAAACGCAATCAGCTTTGCGTAAGTGTTTATATGGACGTTATTTTTAGTTTGTAATGTAGCTTTCAACATCGAATATATACTCCACATCGTTGACGGCTGTTTTGTATGCGACATTTCAATGAAATAAGACAGAAGCACAGTTTCCGACAGTGTTTCCTGCGCCCTTATCGTGCCTCCATTTGTCAAAATGTTCGTAGACTTTCAGGTACTTTTCACGAGATTTACTAGGCAAGAAACTTAGTTCAGCATTTTTAACAGTTTCAACTAACTCTGGAGGAGTTAAAAAATTGTCGTCTTCACTGGAATCGCTCATATTTTCTATTTTATTACGTAGGTAGGTATCCAATTAACTATCAAAGAAGTACCTATCGCAAGCAAATAAGAAATTTTGAATTAAAAAAAAAAGAAAGCGCGCTTTTATTTATTGCGTTCCGGAACGTTCTCGCTTGTATTCATTGAAATCACACATTGTAAATATTGTTATCTTTAATTGACGTTATAAATTTAGCATATTTTTATTGCAACACTTGCTTTATTTTTAATGAAAATTGTAAAAACTAAATTATCATAGTATAAAATCGTATTTGTATTTCTCACATAATTTATCTTTTAGATGAATTGACGAGTTTCCGAACGTGCACTCGTTCAGCCATTTTGTGGGGGTCTACTATGTAGCTTAAATATCGAAGTACGAATAAACCATAATTTTCTTTTTCCTTTTTCTTGTAATGAAGTGAAAGGGACGGAGCGACTGATTTTGAAATATGTCGAATTTGTATTAGACCCCTTCGCATTAAATGACAAGTCTCCACTTAAAAAGCAAAAAGCTACTTTTTCTCACGGAGTGAGCAAAATAAGATTTTGCTCACTGATTTCACACAGCAAAATAGCCTTGTTCGAGCTGCTGAGGTGAAAAAACTATTTATTACTTTTTTTTAATAATAACGCACATAGGTACTAAACATAGCCCCTGAAACACAAATCACACCCAAACTCCCGAGAGAAATAAATGTAGGCCATACAAATATTTCTCCCGGCCCGGGAATCGAACCTGGGACCTCTGTGTGGCAGTCCGGCATGGTAACCATTCGGCCTCGGAAGCAGTTATTTTACCAAGTTCTACAGTAGGTATATCAAGAACATGAGTCAATCAACATTAAAAAATGAGTAAATATTATTAATTTCTATGGAGTCGTCGTAACCTAATGGTATGGTCTAACGCCTCTCAAGCAGAGGTCGTGGGTTTAAATCCAGCCTGGCACCTCTGAATTCCTCGGAATTTATATGCGAAATTGAATTTTAAATTTACCATAAGCTTTTCGGTGAAGAAAAACACCGTGATGAAACCGCACGTCAAAAAAGTTTCACAACCCTCGGAAAACGTGTGAAGTCCCCAGCCCGCATTGGGCTAGCGTGGCGGACCATAGGCCATTGCCTAAACCCTCGCCTGAGACTCCTTTCGTGTCTCCACCCGTGCTCAGCAGTGAAAAGTACTGTTGTAAAAGGGCTGTTGATGATGATGATAATGATGGACAACTCATTCTTGACCAGTAAATTTACTATGTTAAAATTTTCAGTTTCCCTCTACCTCATATTGCTTCAGATTTGCCCGTACTGTCCCAGTTAAAAAGCACACTGTATAAACATAGTACAATTATTATACTATGGTGCGACGTTTTTTGTATTCATTATATTATATTAAATTTTCAGGGCACTTCCAAAATTTAGAAAGAACATAACGGAAGGATCCATGGATTTGCTGAAAGAAACCAGTGTTAAGCGCTTTAGTTTATGGAGTCGTGACTTTTCTAGTCTCTATAAAGTGTTAAAAGTAGCTTCTTATGAATCACCAATATAATCTTCACATAATTTCTTACATTAAAAGGCTATATTATGCTATTATATTATGTTATTTTGATAATGCTTGTCGTCTTTATATGTATACTGATGATAAAATTATATAACAATTGGTCACACCTTAATATCCTTTTTCTTGTGTGTAGGAAGTCCAATTATTCTATGGAAAGGAAATACAATATCATATATTACTATGCTATGTAGCTAGAAATGAATTGTATTTTACATAATGTTACTTATAGTGTAGGTAGGTACAATACAAAATAATTATGCTACTGATGAAACCATAAAGTGAAGTTGACTTTATGTTATAAAATAATTGGTTAGACTGTGCCCTAAGCTTAGACAATTATGTACAAACCTTAAATTGGTACATAAGAAAACCTACGAAACACGAAAAAATAAAAATCTGAGTAAATTATTAACAAACTTATAAAATATGGATACAACGTAAGTGTGCATCATCCTTTCAATCGTCAGCTTAATTGAGCTGCATCACTCAACTCTCACTATATACCTAAGTCTTTTTACTACTGCTATTGCCAATCATTTTGACCTCTTTGACTCCTATCTCTAATTTGCCTTTTTGTGTAACTTCTAAAAACTATAAAATTGTGTGGTATTCTTTATATTACGTTTGCACGCCTTCTTAGTGGTAATGAAATTAGCTAAGTAAACAGTGTGCCAATGTGAGTGGAGTGGACACTGTGAGTACATAACCTGTTGTTGTTGGAAGTCTTATAATTTTATGGAAAGTAAATAAGGTAGTGTTTCTGAATTAAAAAATTAACAAATCGCAAATATCCCACAGCATAACAGTTGGCTTTTTTGTGTGTTTTGGTATGTTAGAAAATGATATCTGATAAATAATATTTCAGTGTCATTTTTGGGGAATTTATCGCTCTCCTAACGTCTAAAGCCGCCACACATTAATTTAGGGGTCGAAGCCGTTAAACCTAAATGTCAACGTCAATGTCACCAATGGTAAACGTCAAATCAAATCAATTTCTAGAAGAAAAATATTTTGCTCATTTGCTGGTGTTTTCTGCAGTGTTTAAGCTAATTTAAACCCACGTGCGTAGCTTTTGACGAAGGTTACGTGGTGTATGATGATATTGGCGGATACTTTGACTTGAGAAAAGTGGGAAACAACACGGGAATCATGAGTAAACATATGTACTCTACTGCGAACCTATCTGACAAAGAATTGAAAGAACAAGGGAACCGATTGTTCAGCTTGAGACGTTTTGAAGATGCTATGAACTGCTACACTAAGGCTATCGTAAGTACTATATTATTAATTTCTATGTTTATCATTGCAGAACTATGCTAAGATCTTGGAACCAATTGCCCTAATTTCCTTAGTAGTATAAATGAAATTCTGTACTATGGTTTGGAAAACTATTTTCGAAAGAGGACTCTGGTGAGATCTTATATTATATTTGTGACACATTTCACGAACTCTTACTCAGTAGATAGACTTAACATATGGGGTCAAAATACATAATTATTGGTATTGTTGCATGGTTTAAGTACTTGCACTGGTAAAGAAATGAAGTTAAGTGTCAATGGCCTCATTTTATTGTTTACTATTGACATTTTTACAAGCAAAGTTATCTCTGGCGAATATAATTTCTATCTAATAAGGTTATATTTTGGAAAAAACATAAATTTAACTACGGCTTCTTTTATATTATGACCTACAAAAATATAAATGTCATAATGCCACAAAAACCCTGATCTATGGTTACAAAATAATATTTACAAATGAAGAAATTTGATAAAAACAGATTTTTTTGTGATGTCAAGTCATACATTGAAATTATTATGAACCTATAAAGCATCTAAGGTGGCCACATAACAATGCTAAATTAATTGATAGCTGTTATCACTGCTATACTGTGAAAACTAATTATCTGGAATTTTCACAGAAAATGACAGCACCACAATTGCAATATGTAAAATGCAAACATTTTCAAAGAACAATGGCAAAATAGTAGTTAAAAGAATTCTAATAAAAATCTAAAAAAATTAAATGTTTTTGGTGGTGGTTTGTGACTGTAGTTGTGCGGAAGCGGCGTGGAATAATTAACTGCATGTAAAAGTATCCAACACAAGCCCAGTTATTTTGCACGACTTAACCTTCACTGGGTTTGCAGAGTAACAAATTAATTTGCTTCCATTGTTATTAACATGGACTTTGCAAAGTAACGCCTGAATGTATTAATTAGTTAAAAGAATTTGTTAGCATCTTCAAATGTCTTAGTTACAAGTTTGAATAAATAAATAAATTAGATTTTTCAAATTATAATAGCGGCATATCTAAGTCGGGAAATAAAATCATATTTATAAGAAACTCTAATGACTGATTAGTATGTAACCAGACTGGTATTTACAACTTTCTGCAGTTTCTTAGTATCTTAATATTGAGCGACATCTAGCCACCTCAAAAAGAAATTTCAGTACCTATGCATGGATATGGTTTACATTTAGTTCACGTAATATCAAATTCCACAGATTTGTCATAAGCATAATAATAACAAAGTAGATAATTTCTTCTCCAAAATGCCAAGCGAGAAAATGGTAAAACTGACAAAAAAGTTCCTGAAATCAGGGATAGGTAGCATGTTTCACAAAAAAAAAATATTCCCGAGTTACCAATGCAATAGTCTGTGGTATTTATTAATTAACTCAGTTATTTTGTTATGGCTTAACTTCCTGCCTTTTATCCATACTAGTACAAAGAATAATTTCCTCTGAACTGTCATCATGTCACAAAACTGCGGCACCATTCACCTTCTGTTAACTCTGTTTAAGGCTTCTGTACTGTATTTTGATATAATAATACACTGAATATATTTTATTCAATTACGTAACACATAACCTTCAAAACTTCAAACTGGAATATCTTTAATTCTTGACTTCTCAGAATAGTAAACACAAAACAGAATGCGTTCAGGAATTTGAACTTATATTTTCACATAATTATTTTTTCAGTATTTATAACAAAAACAACAACGTAATATATGGGAGTTTGCCATTGTTCTTTAGGTAAAACATGTGGAAGCATCTGTTACAAATTATCATACCTGTCCATGGTATGCATAATAAATATTTGTTGTAGAAATTTCAATTGCATTTATTTCAAAGTTGATATTTTGTGAAATAATTGTTTTTCCGAGTATAACGGCGATGTCGTACAAAAAACAATTCATATGAAAATTGAAAGTGTCAGTGGTGTCAAGTTATAAATTATTCAAGTTTTCAGATGGTGCTATGAATAAACATTATATTTAAAAGTAAAACTCAATCTGTAAAAATACAACATTAAACTTACTTTTATTATTGTAAGGGTGGCTTTATTCATGACCCATGTAGACCCTCGTCACTGCAACATGATCTATTGTGATCACCACTAATTACAAATTAGAGCCAAGACCAATTAATAATAATAACATCGCACACACTCAACAATTGTGTTAAAAAACTGAAGGATTCTCCTGGCTTTGATTGTTTTGGTGACATCTGGTTGTGGCATGTACCTACCCAGTGTGGAGCTTTGTAGTTCCATCTAGGGGCAGCAATGGGTAAGGAGATGCAGAGGAATTTCATCTGCCTCATGGCAGAATCTACATTCTGTTTCTTCTCGGAAAAGTTACAAATTTGTAAAATTGTGCCTGTAATTTACAGTTTTGTTTAGTGAAGCATTTCACTTGACAGGTGTCAGTTTGACTGAGTGTAAGAGCATATACACGTATTTTATACTTAGAGGATGGAAAAAAATAAAGGGAATTTTATACGCGCCGAAGGCGCGCTGTAGTGAGTCAATTGAAACGCGCGCAAACATCGCGCTGCAAGCAAGAAGCTTATGTACTGCGCTGGCGTTTACACTTACAATTAATAGTAATAACGCACACACTGCCACACGCGACACAGAGTTTCCCTGCACTAGGGAAACTCTGTGTCGCGGGTGCCATGGACACACACATAGACAACCACAAATAAATGTGTTCATTGTAAGAGCGAATTAAGTCTTTATAATTAAATTTAGAAATAATGAGCTTTTAGCAAATTAATGTGTAATAATTTTAGTTCTCCGAGTAAACTAGTAATGCTATCTATGGGATGTTAGTGCAATTTTTGGAGCTTCACTTTTATAATGAAAGCTATGACGATATGTGATACTTTTAAGCAAAAAAAAATGTGTTTTAAAATATGGACTTCACTTTTATAATGATCGACACAAATATAGGCCTTACAATTAATTATTTCTCCGGGATCGGGAATCGAACCCGGGACCTCCGCGTGGCAGTCCAGCATGGTACTCGTTCGGCCACCGAGGCAGTTACGTTTCATATAGTTGCTTCATTTCAAAAATTTAGTGAAATTAACAAACAAAGCTAAAATGAAAACTGTCTCTTATTAAAATGCGCAATTCATACGTGCGACTACAGTGCGTCTGCGGCGCGTATTGGCGCACATGACGTCGTCGGCGCGTATAAAATACGCGGAGTGCAGAGGCACTAACTCACTTTTATATAAATATGAGATATTATAGTAAATTTGTTATAGAACTCTATTGTATGTCAGTATTAAATAGTTTTGTGTAAGTGTATAATTTAAATAAATATATAAATATTAGACCACATCACATATGTCGCTCTGTTGTGTTATGTTATGGAAATTTGACACAACTTTGGTACCGCAAACACGCAGACCCGAGACAATACACTAAAGTTACTTTTTTACATTGACCTGGCCAGGGGTCCAACCCAGGACCTCAGAGATAGCGACACCATGAAAATTGATGTGCAAGCCACTCGACTATGGAAGTCAAGTTACCATGATGTCAACTATTACCAACGAGTATATAACCATAAGTTGAGATGAAAAGTAATTTAATTTGTTTGCAAAGTATTCTGCCAAATCATTGCTGTTGACACCTGCGTTCCGATTGGCTATCCCGAATTCGAAACAATTTACGGGTATCGTCAATTGTTTCAGTTCAAAGCGACCAGTTTAACTTGTGATTTGCTATACTGGACGATAATTGTACAATTACATAATTCACATTTAATTACCGATGACTCAACTGCCTCCGTGGCCGAAAGGTTACCATGCCGGACTGCCATGCAGAGGTCCTAGGTTCGATTCCCGGGCCGGACGAAATATGTATTTGTATGGCTTACATTTATTTCTCTCGTGAATTTGGGTGTAATTTGTGGTTGTCTATGTGTGTGTCCATGGCACCCGCGACACAGGGTTTCCCTAGTGCGGGGCTATGTTGAGTGTGAGCGTTAAAAGAAAAGATGAAATGTGATTCCGTTTGTTCTGTAATTAGATGAAGAATAGAATAGAATAGAATCATTTATTTCGTATTATCAATTTCATAATATCACAATTCGAAATATAATATCAAGGGATAACATTAAGGTAAATAATGATTTTAATGTTAATATAAAATAAAATTATTAAAAGAGAAATAAAGGAAAATACGAATAAAAAATACAAAAAATAATTCAAATATTTTCAAAATACAAACGTCCAAAATTAAAAATATAATTATAATTTCTTTAAAAGAAACTCCTCTACACTATAATTCATTATCCAATAAAAGGTCTTTCAGTCGAGAACAAAACACTTCGTCATTTGTAACACTTTTTCGACTTTTGGGTACGTGTTCGTAAAATCGGGGCCCGATTACTCGCGGATTGCTCGTTACGAGTTCGGTTCGATGAGCAACGAGTTTCAGTATTTCTATGTTACGTAACAGTCGACCTCCGCCTGTGCATCCCTCGTAAATCTGTATGTTTTTACGCACAAAAACAATTACATCGTGTATGTGATGTTTCGCTGTTTTTCCCACACCACCGAATGTAACAGCCCCCATTATAAGAGATATTATCTTATAAGTACAGAATATTTTTGGAATATACCGAGACCACAGACGGTTGTTGGCGCTGTACTTTTCCAGTTTTCTAATTTGTGATTTCAGCGCAAACGAGAGTTGATATTTAAAAGTGATATCAGGCCCATTTGCCTTGGATTGGTATGAAAAGAAAGATATGACCCTTATTTCGTGTCTATCTCTGGTTATTAATATACTCGATGACTATTACAAATATACACCGGTGTCAAAATATTAGAAGCATTTTTTTTGCAAAAAGTTGTTTGTAGAAAAAAAGAAAAAAGTTTTGTTGAACAGAATTTATAGTTGTACAATTGTCAGCTATTTACTTGGTTCTTCCTATTTGTAGTTTTTATTAACAAACAGCACTATCTTATATAGTTTCACATTTGTCACATAATACAAATTTGTCAAATTGTAATGTTTATTGTATGTTCTGAGCTCATTATTTACCTTGCTCACAGGTAGTTTAGTATATAATATGCTTTTCATTACTCTTATCAAAATGTAGTCTTTTGGAGGATTAGCAAATATCGCTTTTTGTGTTTAGGTAAGTGATATGTTCATATCAGGTTATTGATAATGTCTGGGTGTGTTAATTTGCTCTCTGGATGTTGTGTTCTATTATGATCATCAGATTAGGAGGAATAATATACAAAATATATAAAAAAATAAAGCCGGTTTAATTTTTTTTATCTATTTTTAAAAGATTATTTAAGCAAATTCACAGATTTAGTTTTATTTCTTACGTCTGGTATCACCACAGTTTGGAAATCTGACTATCTAGTTTTACATTTCAATATAAAGATTTTTCTTATATGTCGTAGAATTTAAAGAAAAGCCACAGAAAGATGCGTAGTTTTATGCGTTATTTAAACTGCCTCTGTGGCCGAACGGTTACCATGCCGGACTGCCACGCAGAGGTCCCAGGTTCGATTCCCGGGTCGGGAGAAATATTTGTATGGCCTACATTTATTTATCTCGTGAGTTTTAGTGTAATTTGTGGTTGTCTATGTGTGTGTCCATGGCACCTGCGACACAGGGATCCCTAGTACGGGGCCATGTTGAGTGTGTGCGTTATTTAAAAAAAAAGACCTTATTGTATAATTGCGAATGTGGTAGCTTCATATTATTACTTCGGTTTCCAAATAAATTTTGAATATTATTTTTATCTGTTTGAAATATATGAGATTATTGCAACGGTAATTACATATCTGGCAGATTGGGAACTACACATAGGATACGTTGATATATGAATATATTGTCCACAGATAAAAAACCCGTCAGTAGCAACTTACTTCACAAATCGGGCACTATGTCACCTCAAGATGAAGCGCTGGGAGGCAACATGCCAAGATTGCAGACGTGCTTTGGATATAGACGCAAATCAAGTCAAGGGCCACTTTTTTTTGGGACAGGCTTTGGTGGAACTGGAGTGCTACGACGAAGCTATAAAACATCTTCACCGAGGTAGGATATGCGGTATTGGAAATAGTTCATTTATTCGTATATTTCAGCTAGTGTGCGAGGGATGATGCCTTGGGTTTGCATCGTATGCACGTTTTTCTCCCATTACTTTTATTTTTTTTTTTTTCGCTTGCGGCATCTGGCATTTTTTTAAGTTCATATAAAGACTGGCTCTTGACCCCTAAGCCCTTAGTATACGAGGAGAAAGTTTTCGCGCGGCTGCCCAGTTACCACGCCCTCGTGTACATTAATGGCGTTTCTGAATTCTATTTACTAGGCAACAACATTTAAATTCCTCTGAATAATACAACCGCGTGGTCGCCGCGCGGGCCGCCGCGTAGACCAAATTCAACCTAGTCTCGCCTGCGTGCCCGGGACTCTCAAACTTAAAACATAAAAGCTAAATGAATAGAGCGTATTTTGCCGTGATAGTTACACAAACGCCGCCGGTGCGAGGCGGCCGCGCGGGGTGGGCGCGATGAAATTCGTGTCGAATAAATAAGCTCTAACTAATCTTGTAGCAAAAATACGCTCTACAATTTTTTTTTAATATCTAGACGTCCATATCATTTGCAGTCCCACTCAGAACTTTAAATCGCTTACATCTGAGGAGTACTGTCACTGCGCCCGACACCCTAACACATAAGTTGACAAGTCCCTTGTGCCTATAATTTCACCAGCACCCTTCAAAACCTTCCGGTTTTGGAACACAGTAATGCTGCTATTTATTGCTTGGCGGTCGATATAGGGAAGTACTGCCAAGTACTTCCCTGGAGGAACTCTTTCACACGCTGCTCTACTGCTACTCCAATGAATCGAGCTCGAACAGAAGATGCCTATTCAGTGGCACTTTAAAGACATTCGTGTTGTGTGTGTTCGGAAATACAGTCTTTATCCAGTATATACCGAAAAAAAAAATCAAATGATAAACGTCATACAGATTACAGATCTTTATTATTATTTTTTAAGCCAACGACTTAGCCCGGGAACAGAAGTTGAACTTCGGTGACGATATAGCGGCCCAAATTCGAATTGCACGCAAGAAAAGATGGAACGTGCAGGAGGAAAAACGGATAGCGCAGGAAATCGAACTTCAGAGTTATTTGAATAGGTGAGTTTGTTGAGGTGTTACTTTTTGTTAGTTATTATAAATTAGAATAACGGACGAACAATCCCGAGGAGCGTCGGAACATAAACTGCAAGTCACGTTTTGACTTTTCTTTTTTTTTATCCAATTTATCCAACCCGAACATCGAACCGCTTTAAAAATACGTTTCAAATGCACAGTTCTGATATCAATGAGACTAGACGACGAAATTGAAATCGAAATTTATCGGATTAGCTCCTTAATTGGTAAACCGGCTAAACATTTTTTTCGGATTTTACGTGTCAGCCGTGACCACGGGACCTTTTTGGTTAAAAAAAAACAAATACTCCCGATTTAGAGCGACTACAGACGGCGATTTTTAGCAGCGATGCATTCGCGATGCAGTAGCTAATCGTCTACCTTTACATACGCGCGCGATTTTAAGCAGCGATGCAAACGCGATGCAAGTGCGCGACTATACAAACGCGCGATTGCATCGCCACATTTATTGGTGCAGTCGCACGTTTTGCATCCACGCAACGCGCGTTCATGTAACGCGTGATTGCATCACTACACTTGCGATTTATAGGCGTTTGCATCGCTGCTAAAATTCGAAGTGTGTAACTACTCCTACATCCGAAAATATCTTGAAACCCAAGAACACGATACCCTATTTTTTATTATATGATACCAATTGATTATTATTACCTATTAATTTTATATAGTTTGTATTGTTCAAAAATAAGTGGCACGTATGTCTTAAGTTACATGCGGATTTCCTACATTTTCCTATTTTGGCTAGTGATAGAACGTCATGCAAAACCGTTACGTGTGCGCTTTGCCTTACGAACGCCCAGTACAATGTATTTTAAGATGATAATCCTGCGTACGCGCTCGTTATAAATGAAGTTTGAATCTGTTTTGGATATTGACTAATCATACTTGAATAACATTCTGCAGACTTGATCTAGTAACTAACATCTTGGATCGTGATTAGTATTCCATTAAAAATTATATTGATTCATAGTTACACGGGCTCAAAAACGCGTTGCCTTTTGCCCGTTTAAATTGCCCGACTTTATGGTGATTTTTCAAAACTGTATATAATTTTCCATGCAATTTTGTTTAAAAGTTATATGTTGCTTATTATTTATAATAATAATATGTGAGAGACAACCACTCCAATTGCTTGGTCTCAGACTAAGGAATTCCCTATACTATGAGTACCAGAGCAACGGAATTCACTCTGGGGCACTTCCCAGAGCAACCAGACCAGAACCAATTTAGAAAAGTCCATTTCCCATATTGGTTTTACCGGGAATCGGATCTAGGACCTCCGCATCCAGCGTCCGCAATTATACCGTTACGCCACCGAGGTCGTATTTGACTGAATATCGAAGTAAGTAGTGCCTTAAGCGGCAGCGCGTTCTGGACAGGAATGTCTCTTAACTGGTCATGGCAGAGCGCACAAGTAATTTCATTTTTTGTATCGTATATCATAAATAATTATTACCGTTTCAGGCTAGTAAGTGAAGACATGCAGCGTAGAATAGAATCTATTAAATTAGAAAATAATAATGAAGAGGAAGCTAGTGCAAAAATATCCAAAGTCGAAGAGGAAACTGTAAGTAACTTAGTTAAACATTAATTTTCTTTTGTAATAAAAAAATAATAATAAGAGGCTTTAGACTCATGAGATTTGCAGCTTGATTTTGATTGCCTTTCCCGATCGGAAACTGCGTCTTTTCCGAGTCGAGGCGTATAATATTACGGATGGGCTACCCGATCGGATCGATACCCATTTGAATTAAAATCAGGGCCCAGGAGACACTTGATCCGTGGTGTACGTGAGTGTTGCGTTCAACAGGTCGCAAACAGGCGCATTTAGGGCGCATTCTCCAGATCTGTACGCACCCAAAAGTTCAATTTATGTTGCTGCGAACGGGGACGGACTGAACTATGTCAATTGTGTAAAGTATGAGCCAAAAACCGTGTCACACGTCTTCCCGCGTTCCCGCGCATTCTCGGGAATTCTTGCAGCTACGGTATCGTATATACGTTACTCAATTGACATAAATTTAATTATGCTTTGTACAATTCCGTTGCAAAAATTCGCTTCCGCGGGTACTTTTTATGGAATTACCATCTGCAATAAATGACATAATCGGAACAGAAATGTTACGATGTACATATTATGTGTTAAGGTGTATTTATTTTATTTAATGTTAAATGTTTAGATACCTATTAATTTTATTGATGTGAACTTCTCAGTACCTATTTTTCTTAATACTATTAGATCTTTTTAAGATCTTTATCCCCCAATTTATAAGACTTTTTCAGGAACTTTTTCGTAATATTCGGTCTAAGGTCCTGAAAAGGTCTTGAAATTTTTCGTAATATTAAGTATATCATTACAAAAAGGTACTGAAAAAGTCTCATCAATAATAAAGGGTTTTTCAACAAGAACTTTGTTTTGTAAATCAAAATAAAACAATAAATTTAGATGACAATGATTCAAATTTTTATTGTATTAAAAAAAGTAAGGCTTGGCAATTATGAATGAAAAATGGTATCTGATAAATGTCCACCACGACCACAGTTACAGATGTCGATTGTTTCATCAAAGTTTTTAATCACTTTTTGACAAAAAGGGGGGTCTATTTCGTTAATCACTTTAAGAATTTTGAGTTTTAAGGCTGCAATCGATCCAATTGGCTCCGTATAGACTCTGTCTTTAACATAACCCCATAAAAAAAAAAATCCAGCGGTGTTAAATCACATGATCTAGCTGGCCACTTAATGGCTGAATTTCGTGAAATTATGCGATCGGGAAATTTGGTTTGCAATAAATTGATTGTTTCAGTGGCTGTGTGACTTGTGGCACCGTCTTGTTGAAACACATGTTAATGATATCCATATCGTCAATAATAGGCCAAAATTGAGTTGTTTACGTCTCTCGATAGCGTAATCCATTTACAGTATCCACATTTCCAGCCGATTTTCGAAAAAAAAACGGCCCTATGCCAACGGCACAAGTCACAAGATTTACAAAACAAAGTTTTTATTGAAAAACCCTTTATTAATATCTAAAAAAAAACAACCCCATTATAGTAACGTAGTTTTCAGTTTAGAAGATGCTGAATATTTGTTTTTTTTGTTTCAGAATAACTACACTAGTGAATTAAATAATTTATTTGCAAAAATAGATGAGAGAAGAAGAGTGAGTCTCTTTATTTTTATAACATTATTGTCGATATTACTTATGACTCTGACGTAAAGATTCAATAATAAAATATCAGTGTAACTTTTAAGTGACACACACTGTATCAGGCTTTAATGTTATTGGGCTTCGCAAGTAATATCTTCATGAATAAACGTAGTTTTGGCGGGTGCAATTTTTTTTTCTTGTCTGTTAACCGGTATTAACATATTTTGGAGGACACTGCCCTCTTTTGTAGGTGTTCGGAGTTCGATTCTCAGAATGCAATCCTGCCCTCGTCATAAACAACTCATTTTCGTTTTGGTAACTTTCGAGATATTGGCACCTAAAGCGTTTTTTTTTTCTTTGAAAAATGTCAATTACGGTGATTTAGCTTAACAATAAAACGGAAACTAAACAAAATAACAAAACCGCTTATAGGATGTAGTAGGTCTTGTTACGCTGATTCCAAATATGGTAATAAACCATGGTCGGATAAAGTTGTTCCACATATGTATATAGATATAGCTACTAGGAGAGTTATTAAAGCCACCAAATATTAATTAATTACTTTTTCGAATTAGGGATTCCGGAAATGGTTTTACTGCATCGTAGGACAAAACTACTGACCTACGAAGTCAAAGTTCGATTTTAAAGTAATTCTAGTGGTGACATGTAAAATAATGCAGTAGATGATTGATCTTTTACCAAAGTAGAGAATAAAAAAGAAACGAGGATGGTCACTCTCCGTCCTTAGCTTTAGATACCATATCGCGACCCGCATATTGACGGTCACATTAACAGAACGGCAAATAGTCGACGTGTTGTCCTTAACGAATGGCTCGCTTATAGCTTACTTACCGTTGGTATCTGTAGCTAGGGAGGGGCGGAGAGTAACCATTCTCGTAAATTCTTTATTCTCTGCTTTGGTAAAAGGTTTTAAAAACTCTGTGTTGCTCCTTGTAGCTATATCTACATTATGTGGAACACCTTTTCCCGACCATTGGTAGTAACTAATTTTCGCTGAAAATGTCAATTACATTGTTTAGGATAAGGACGGCAGAATCTGCATCATTGCGTATTTGGAATCATGTGCAGTTTAGTTAATTAACTCCTTTCTTTATTTAATTGTGAGGGAAAAAATCGCACTGAAACTTTCATTACTGAGTTTATGTACATTTCTGAAACGTATATGGATTATATATACAGTATACCTACCTTGAAGTAATAAATTGTAAAAAAATGTACTTTTTAAATTTAAAAAAAAATCAACGATCTCGCTGGCCTAACGGTATGCACTGTGGGCGCTGTATGCGGAGTTCCCAAGTTCGATTTCTGGTTGGACCAATTTGGGGAATGAACTTTCCTAAATTGGTGGTTGGTTTGGGTGTGCCCCGGAGTGAATTCCGTTGTTCTGGTACCCATAGTACAGGCAATTCACTAGTTTGCGACCATGCAATTGGTGTTGTTGTCTGGCACATATTTTGAAACTTTAGGTAACAATACTTTCATATAATTCATTCTATTAGCGTAAATAGAAAATTAATAACACTGATTAATTAAACATTATTTAATAAAAAAATAATTAATAAAATGATTAAAGTTTTAAATTGCAAAAACGCTAAGTACGTTAACGGTTTTTGAGATATGGTAGTTGAATTGTTTCTTGTAAAGAAGAACATGCGTTAAGACTTTTGTTCCCGTAGTATGCCGCTTCAATAAAGCTATTATAATCCACATTTAACTCTCAAATTCCAGCCGGCCTTTTAAAATTCGGCTTTTCAATGTTTTAATTAAATTTTATCGCAATAGCTAGCATGGCGAGCACCGTGACGTCACAATTGTATGTCGTCGCGAGCGCCACGACCAATGACTGCAAAAGATTAACACAGTGCCAAACATGGCTGCAAGGTCACAGCTGATTTTAAAACATATTGACAGCTCTGGCACAGTAATTTTATTGACGTAAATATTAAGCGCGACAAACGAGACGATAAGAAATAATAATAACAAACAAATTGATATAAATAAATTATTGCAAAAAGGTGAGGAGAACATTTTTAATACAGTTCAATGGGGGAGACTAATTAGAAAGACGTAAATAATAACTAATATAATATAAAATATTATGTAAAAACATAAACTACAAAAACCCGACATTTTTTGTTTCAACGTTTTCGCGGCGATGATTAAACGACAAAGATAGCTATATATGCAATTTCATATCGTTGTCCTCGTTTACCAAATAAGCAAACTTAACTTTATCAACGGAAATATAACCATATAGTCACGGGGAGGTTTATCACACATGTACTGAATTGTACTGCTGTGCTACGGTCACAGATAACATTATTTTGTCATATATTTATTTGAAGGCTTTCGTGATTATTCAGTTAAAAGATCTCATACCGTGACGAGAAACCTGTAATTAGTTATACCATAAATTGGTGATACCATAATTGTCGTTACCATAAATGTATTTTGCACGTAGTTGTATCATAGTTCTTAGGGTTTGGAGCTCATTTGCCAGTACGCTTTAGCACTGCATCCATATTATGGGTTCAGCATCAAGATTGCAAGCGATGCCCCATATGAAACACATTTAGCACGTATGCTGAAGCGTAGTGACTTATGGGTTCCTAAGGTAACCTCATTTTTTAATTTTTTTTGTAACATCAAGTGACGGGACGTTCAAGTCGTGCGCCTTGTAGTAAGCTACATGCCTGTCCATAACAGTTACAGTGCCACTCAGAGTTTTAAATGCAAACATCTGAGGGCCACTCTACCACTGCGCTCGTCACCCTGAGACATAAGTTGACAAGTCCCATGTGCCAGTAATTTCACCAGCACCTTTACCCTTCAAAACCGGAACACAGTAAAGCTGACATTACTGCTTGGCGGCAGAAATAGGTAAATACTCATGATTGCACCTCAAAGTATTTTAGAAAATTGAAATTATCTTAGTTCTATATTGTAAAAAAACATCTTTAATTGCTAAAGTTAAAAAATAATGGATGACCGCGTAATGCGCGAACTCCTACGGCTTCTCCACCTACACATTTCGCCTGTAATGCGTCATTCATTATTCTGGTGATCAGATTCACAGGTCAGAAGTCAACTTAGACGTTGATCTTGTTATTGTGTCACTTTGTGGTACTAATAGCATACTAATGCATAACCTTATTATTAAAATTTGTTGCTTAGGGCTGTGGGTTTCGATCGCACTTTAGAAATTAATTTCATCTTAAGGCGAGTCATCGGAAGAAAAGCGGGAAAAACTGTTTTGCAAATTCAAATGGTTAATGGTTTATTAAATAACGCTTTTACAAAAACTATACGAAGCACCCAAGGATATTGTCTAAACAATTTTGGATGCTGGATGTGCTTTATCCGATCATATGAAATCCTAAAAACAGGCTAAAAATAAAAGTGTAAAACGAATTAAACAGGAATAAAATATCTAACTTTGTACATATTTTGTATATTCTTTTTAAATACTACAGAGGACCTGTTAAATTTTGGTTTTCCACTGAAGCCCTATAGTTATTAAATTCACATTTATCCCCGAATTTTCAAATTGCCCCGCGGATTAACGACACGACGCGTCGACATCGGTGTCAAATTTTCTCCGCCTGTACTTATTTTATTCATATTAATTTACACCGCGCGGATTTCGGGACGCGAAGGTACGACACCTCATACCTATTACTGCCACCAAGCAGTAATGTCAGCATTACTGTGTTCTGGTTTTGAGGGTTAAGGGTGCTGGTGAAATTACAGGCACATGGGAATTGTCAACTTATGACTCAGGGTGACGAGCGCAGTGGCAGTGCCCCTCAGATCTTTGCAATTTAAAGCTATGAGTGGCAGTGCAACCGTTATGGATAAGCGTGTAGCTTACCACCAGGCGCACGACTTATTCGTCCCGTCACTTAATATTACAAAAATATAAAAAAAATAAATTCACCTCCTAAAATCCAGGCTTGCGCGAATTACCTCGCCTTAATTGCTTTCTTTGTAGAATTTATTTCTTGACACGTCGCCACTGACATCTATGAAGTCGTCAGAAATCGTAGAGGGAGAATAAGAATAGAAAAGCTTCTCGCGTATACTGACAAGGGATACGAACAGAGTACCTATAAATTCTGGGTAGTCTACTTTTAAAATTTTACCCCGTTAAAGAAATTGAAATGAAAATGAAGCCATGGTAGCCTAATGGTTTGACCTACTGCCTCTCATGCATAGGGTCGTGGGTTCGAATCCAGACTCACACCTCTGAGTTTCTCGGAGTTATGTGCGAAATTTAATTTGAAATATATCATGAGCCTTTCGGTGAAGGAAAACATCGTGCTGAAACTTGCACGTTGAAGAAGGTTCAATGAAGAAGGTGATCTTGGCTCATTTTGTATGAGCATAATAATAAATTCGAGTCGTTTTAACCATTTGGTCGCACAAATAAATCAAACTTTTAATGCACATTAATGATCCTAGAAAACCCGTTTTTCTGTTCGTCATTAAAATAGGTATATTAATTAATTTTAGACCAGTAATGTAACGGTACATATTTTCCAAAAGCTCTTTATGAGCATCACAATTTTGTTGTAATAATGGCTTCTTAAAGCCGTAAGCATTCAAATTTCTTGAATTCGTTATGTCAAATAATGAATTGAATTGGTCCGCAACGTTTAAACTCCTCAAGACCTAGATTTTCTGCACAAAACTCAATAGCATCAGCTACTGATGCGCTAAAAGTCTGTGCAGCCAACTTAACTTTCATTATTTGTTTTTTGAATTGCACATGTGCTGTAGTAACTTCATTCGCCAAATGGAAACCCTTATTTACTTGTAGATCAACAAGCTTGTGTCACGAAACCCCATAAAATTATATTTCTTTCACAATTAGTAAGGTTGTTCTTTTCTCTCAAAGTGTTTCTTACTAATTTTAACATATGGGACGGATCCGGAAAAACGGCAACTGGTTTGCCCTTATATTTAAATATGGGATCAATAGTTTCGCTGTCTAGCTGGCATCCTAGCAGTTTAGCCATAGAAAAATTCGCAGGGCATCCATCGAACGTTAATGCAACGACATTAACCCCACATTCTTCTATAAATTCTAGACCTTGCTTTACTAGAGAGGATTTCTGTTCAGCGTTAATGCCATCGATTAAAAAATACCCTACAGGAATTTTCCACGAACCTTTAATACAAGTGAGCATGAATACTAATGCCTCTTATACCGGTAATTCATGGTTATCACGAATATTTCCAAAATTGATAAAACCAACGTAATTAAGACTGTCGAATTCAACGCACTTACGAATAGCCATTTCGTCGAAACAAAGCGCTACTCATATATTTGACGTGTGCTCTTTTTCACGAGCATTTTAACGGCACTTAGGGCTTCTTCTGAAAAATCAGGTTCGCCATTTATGTCTTGATACCAACGAGTTAATGTGCGTGGATGTGGCGTTTGTCACATTTTTATGTGTCAAAAGATACGCTCTTGAACTAATAAAATGTAGGGTCAGAGCAAACTGTCTCATGCTGGTGAATATTTTTTTCTTCAGTGCCAAGGATTCGTTTTAATTATTCTTATTCACAGGATCAATGGCCAGTAGAACGTCAGCATTTTCTTGGTTGATCAAAGATCGTTTCTTCATCTCTTCAATGACACCTGTCAGTTCTGCATTTTTCTTTTCTTATCGCCAATTTTTCGATCTCAATGCAGCTAACTGCTTTTTCCCTTGCTCAGCAATCTGTTTTGTATCGTAATTTTTTCAACAGTTTTTTCTTCCTTGGTGTTATTATATGACTTGAAACCTGTAAAATATCATCAGAATATGTTAAAATGTTTAGTGCTAAAATATTTCAAAAGAGTAAAGATTCATTCTACAACATAGTAACAGTCCTGTGCACAGGATCGTCTTAGGTTTTCGCACTATTCATACATATTTAAACAATATTATAGAAAAATAAATACAGTATTAGACTGAGTTATGTAGATGGCATTGGAGCGGTGGAAGTACTTGCTACATTCGACAGGTCCTAAAATTTTACAACCAATTTTGTATTACAACATTCTTCAAATACATAAATCGCCTATAAAATAATAAACCTGGATAACTATTTACACTAAAAAGGTACAGATTAAATTTGTTATTGCTATTCAAAATTTTTTTATTGTCCTTTTTTTAATGAAATTCCACTGTTGATTCACCCTTTAAGGGCTATCCGGTTTCAATTCCGAATTAAAACCGCATACGTAGAAAGGGCCAAACAATAATAATATTGTTTTCTCGTATACTGTGATGTGTCTGTGCATAAATCAATCTCGCTTAAACGGTTTTTATTATTTAAAGAGCCCCTCTACCCAATTCTCCCTTTACTTCAGAAATATAGGACCTCTATCCGGTTTTCAATGTTGCGAAATATGTCGCGCAAAGCTCATAACGTCACAAGACTTTTTGTCTCTTTGTCTTCTGAGTTTGTCCCTTTTTGTCTTCTAAGCGGTTTAATGCGATTCCGCGCCGATAAGTATAGTGACTCTCTAATACACGGCTTTTTCATAGTATAATAATAAGACAAGTAGTCTGACGCCCGCGTGTTCGACGCGTTAACACCTACCCGTCACTCGCAGGATAGGGCTGTCACTTTATTATTTCGGTTGTCCCTATAGATTGTGAATATGATTTGAAAAAATTAAGTTGTTCATCAAAGTATTCTCGTCCTATTGATATTGTATCTCGATTATGGGAGTATGATTATGATATAGAAAATTTTGTTTGTTTATTTATTAATTTACATCAGGCACACCCATTTAATCTGTAACTTAAGGACTAACATACATATAATATAATATAGCTACAAAATAACTAATCTACACGAATTGCAATCGACGTGAGACGCAATCTGACCTTCCTTCGGCTAAAAGTACTCCTTCATGAAGGTCGACAGATCAGACAGAGAGAACAGAGGCAGCGTCGTCGGTATGGGCGGATGCAGCAGAAAGTTCGGTTCTGTTCGTGCTGTGCCACATACGTTACGCTAGTGGACTTCCTCTTCTCCACTTTAGTGAAACCGTCCTCGTCGCATCAATCCGTCTGCCTCTGTGGTTTTCCAACTTCGCAGACAGGCACACAATGCTTAACAATTCTGAATTTGAAGCACTCTCGTTCAAAATCATGAATACAACAATTAACGTGTCTACTATTTGATGTCATTAAATACCCAGCAAACGCTTCAATTCTATAATGAAAGGCGCGTGAGACGAACCACGCTATGTATCGTGAGTGCATCGCGAGATTACGCGAATGTGCTCGTCCGTACACGGCGCACAGCGGGCGCGAACACATACAAGCCGCGCTGCTACGTCCGTATGGAGTTACACTGTTTGTCTTATAATACTACAGCTTTATGGTCCCCCCCTTTTTTTAACGTCAGGAAATCCTCAAGGATACCCTCCGCCCGGGGGAAGTGAAGGGTTATGTCGGAGTTCTACTGACTAAAACCTTACGATATTCCATCTCCTCACCATGTGCCGAAGTTACGGGGACGCTTACGCATTCTTCCGCGACTCCGACGCTGATTGGTTCGACTGAGCACCGAACCTCATCTCGCTTTTCGGGGTCTTGTCAGCAATCTTGAGAGGCCGACGTGGAACACGTACGCCGCCATCTCGAGTACACCAGTAACGAGTGACGGACTCCCCTAAGTCTGTCGCTCATGGGCTCATGTCACGGGGGCTTCCGCCACCCGTTACCCACCTATGTCGGCAGCTGGAGAGCCAAGCTTTATGGTCCCCCTAAACCATATGTAAACTAACATCCAACTCTATTAAAGCTCTTAAACAAACTTTCGTTGCAGAAGCGTGATGTACCCGACTATCTGTGCGGAAAGATCAGCTTCGAGATCCTCAATGAGCCCGTCATCACGCCTAGTGGCATTACATATGAGCGGAAGGATATCGAGGAGCATCTAGAGGTAACTTCAAACTTTTTTTTTTACATTATGCTATAGTTTCAGTGTGTTCATCATCATCAAACTTAAGAGTTATACTCTTGTCGTTGGAGCATCTGCTAATCATCTCTTCTATAACCCAGCCCCTTGACCCCCTTATATGATAAAACACGGGCCTTTTCCTTTATTTGGTCTATTTAGCTGCTTCTAGGTCGACCTCTTCCCCTCTTCCCATCGATCTTTCTCTCCAAAATGGTCTTAAAGAAGTTGTCGTGTCGTATTAAATATCCAATCATTTTCCGCGTCTATACTCTAGAGTATTCAGTCTGTTATATGGCTTCAATTACTTCCAATCAGATATCGGTATATGGCTAAATAGTATTTTTATTTTGCCCAGTGTGACCAAATTACGTTTTGACGCAAAGTCCAATTGACTCAACGTGAGTAGCGTGATCGTGTGTGCAATTAAGCTGCTAAACAATTGTAGTTAGCGGTTAGCTTAATTTTATAAGAACATGTTATAAAACGTTATTTTTTTAAGATTTTCCTTTACTTTCAGCGAGTCGGCCACTTTGACCCGGTGACCCGCGTAAAGTTGACAGCAGACCAACTAATTCCTAACTTCACAATGAAGGAGGTAGTGGACGCGTTTCTCCAGGACAATGAATGGGCACTTGATTACTAATTTCAATCGTTCCAGAACATTTTGCTAGAATGTTCGAGAACATTCTGTTTCATTGTTGTGAGTATATTGTACTTGTTTATACTTTACTATAACAATTTCTCGTATGTTTCGGAAACTTTCTGGCTAAATTGACTAGCTTGCCCTACATTTAAGGTAAAAGAACGCTTTAGCTTCGTACCTTGTGGAATGATATTAGGAACAAGCTTCGTGATACTAATGTAGTCTTAATTTTTAACAAGCCAAATGTCGAAAAGAATATAATGTTGATTTGTAATAGACAAGGCCCATATACTGACAACAATTTATTACTGTTATTAAAGTAAATAAGTTTATACGGAGAGTTTCAGTTAGTACCTAACGCACGTTTATTTATTACAGCATGCAATTTTATTTTAATTAATTTCAATTCACATACGTAGATAAATTTTAATCTTTAGATATTGTACGTAGAAAACTCAAGCAAATTCGTAAGGTCTGTTGGTTCGATCCGCGGCTTAATTGCAGAGCATCTGGCATGAATTGCCTGAGGGTGCTAGTTCGGCTCCAGCAGGATCAAATGATTTTTTGTTAGTGTTTTGATCCATGTTATAACAATTATAACAAACTAGTGGAGTAATTGCACAAAAAATAATTGAATATCATGGTAGTATAACATCGTGACATTCAATACTTAATTAACAAAAGTCAAGCAATTTTATGTAAAATTAACATTATGTATAAATCGATATTATTGATGGTAATTCGAAACAGTAAAGCTATTAAGAAAAAATATTCACTCCATTGAATTCTCTTTTTTTTTCTTGGCTAATTTTAACAAAATGTCAACAAAGTAGCGGGATCTTCACATATTGACTGTCAAAGCAAAAATCATCATACAGAATAGATATTGACTACGTTACACGAGTACATTATACTGGCAATGACAGCCGTAATCCAGATATCTCGTATGATCTCCACAACAGCGGTCATCCGAAGAGGTTCTTCCAAAAATAAATAACCCCGCTGTTGCCTGATTGTTGGCGTTCTTGATCAGAATTAACCGGCAACATTTACCGAAACTGATACTGGCTCTTGCCTAGTGGCAGCCATTAAACAATAATAATAATATAATACCCGATCGAAATATCCGTGACCTTGATACCACCCCACTTCGTCTAACGTACTCCGCCGTCACCTGTACTGTAAAGTGGCCTCAGAAATCAACAGTAACAAAAACGTTTTTTGAAGATTTCAGAGAGATTTGTAGTGTTGTTTACTATTTTAAATATTAATCCAACACATTTTCAAGCTGACTAGGCCAACGCCGTATATCTGTTTATTGCGTAAGGTGTAATTTTCCCCAGGACTTTATTATTATGGTGCATTACATTAAGTGTTAACAGTGTTAGAAACCTTGCACGCTACAATTGATTGACGCAACACAAAGGCTTTGCAGTACACAGTGGTTTGTGGTGGTGTAACATTACGTGCCACTCGATTTGCATTCCTTTTGCAAAGTAACATTTTAATATTTAGTAAAACACAAAACAAAAGAAAAATCAAAATTCAAAATAAAAATTCCAAATTGCATTGATTGATTGAATTGCAAAAATTGAAAAATTAATAATTCCCAATTCCACACGTAAAATTCAAACTAAAAATAGTATTAAAATTAAAATACTTTCCCATAAAACATAAGTTATTTATTTCCTATTTGCATTCTGGCGCACGTTTAGCTGGAGTTTATAAGAACTGGTTTTTTTTATAACAACAAGTGACGGGACGGACAAGTCGTGCGTCTGATGGTAAGCTACACTGTACATAAGTTACAGTGCCACTCAGAGCTTTAAATTGCAAAGATTTGACGGGCATTGTCACTGCGCCTGTCACTCTGAGACGTAAGTTGACAAGTCCCGTGTGCCTGTAATTTCACCAAAATCTACTGCAGTCATTGCCAATAACCGACAAAAGTCAATGCCTTCGAAAAGCAGTTTGGAGTCAGCGCCTACTGGAACAGCTGGTGAGTACTGCTCACAGTCTGCTCACAATCAGTTGGCATGGATTTTTTTTATTTTATTTGCAACTGCTATTTTGCACGCAATGCAAATACATCTGGTGTTGCTACACCCTACAAACAAACAAAGCGCTACGCAGTAACTCGCATGTCTATTGCTACTTCAAAACCACGTGAAAGTAAATGATATGTAAATGGAAATTAAGTAATTTTTTTTCAAACAAACTAACGTTTCGGGTTTTACAGATCCCACGACCACGGCTGACTCCAGGCCTTTTGCGACAGCGGTTCTGGTAGTAATCAAGTGTCAAGGCACTTCCATTGTTTTTTTGTCTTCCGTGTTCCCGAAATATTGGTTTGCTACAAAAAATATAATAAAATATAATAAAATACTTTTCCTATGTGTAATAATCGCGAAAACCTAAGAACTCAATACCTAACGTAAATGATTGAATTTTCTTTGGCTTTTACTGTCCGAAATGCCATCTTTGATAACAAGAAATAATGAAAAAGGCGTATTATACACGTAAAGATAATCAAATGTGTTAATTTGGAATCCAATAAATAAGGTCTTCCGGACTCATGTATGAATCAATGTTTGTTTTAATATGAATATTTATTGATTCCAATGACTTACAGTATGTGGAAAATGTATGTATATAAGGTAAGTAAGTATTTAACTGGGTTTTATTGCGCTCTGTACTTTAGTTTTGGCTACTGGTTAAAAGATGTTTTAATGAAGAGGTCCGCCTTTTTCTTTTGTTGCAATTAAGATGCGGAGTCACATTGGATGTTTGGGTAAGGAAATGTCACTTTAAGTTGGTTCACCATTATTTCGCATAAAACCAATTAATGTCGTAACTCTAAATTGTGGAATTGAAAAAAATATTATGAATATCGTCGGTGTTATGTAGAAAAATGTAAGCAACATTTCAAAAAATTGTTCAGAGGGGTTTGTTTTACGTTTTAACCACTGTTTTAAAATTAAAATTGAGTTTAAGTTTTTTTCCTTTTCTACAAAACATCAACGATATATTCTCTTTTATAAATGGATAATTAAGCATTACGTGTAAATAAAAAATATTCATATTATTCCCAATAAGATCTATTCACAATTTTTTTTTAATTTTCAAATTCTGTTTTCTCCACAATTTTGAGTTACTACAGTATTTGGTTTCGTGTGGGATTTGGTAACGGTTGGTCTACTTAAAACCGCCGACTGAACAATAACCAGGTATGGGTGTTTGTTTTTTAATTTTACACAAGTCATAATTTCTCCAAGATTCCTGGTTAGAGAGAGGTGGTGTGTGTGTGTGTGTGTGTATAAATTGTTCTGGTTTATTATTATTTATTATATTTGCCTCACTAGTATCATGATACCTGAAGCCACTGAGAGTATTTATACAACAGCACTGTTCCCACTAATATGTACCAACGATGGTACGTACAACTGGAATTACACGAGAGGCGATTGAAAAGTAGTCTTATTTAACTATTTCCAAATAAAAAAATAGTATTGATTACTATCGTGACGCATTCGCTGTCAATTTTTTTTTAGCCGACTTCAAAAATGAGGAGGTTCTCATTTCGTCTGTATTTTACGTATGGTTTGTATGTATGTTACGCGATTACTTCGACATTTGTGAACCGATTTAGATGATTCTTCTTTCGTTGGAAAGGGAGTACCTCAGTAGTGGTCCCATTTAAATTTAAAGAAAATATTCCTCCTCTAAGGGTGGCAAATTAAGGGATGAACCTGGTTTATTGAATTTCACCTACTTTCCGTTAACTGGAGGCCTATCTTAACCTTTACAAAAACAGTTTTATTTCAATGTAAGCTTAAAGTAAGCTTATTATAATATTACTCGCATTCGTACCATGATAAACCTGTCAACCAAGTAATGTATTATTGCTAAAGATATATAAAGATTGAAAAAACGAATGATTTCTCAATGTTGTCTATTCCTTACTAATAATAGGAAAGGAAAAACGCTATATGAACTATGTAATGCCATCTCTTTCTTTTTTCATTGTTCCGTATCGTCTTATCGTAGCATAATGTTTAAGTACTTCATGTTATTTACGTTCAGAGAATTTTAACTGTTAAAAAAAGACTATAATATGTAATAGTATAATCTATTAAAATTACGTTGTTTTCAATTATTTTTCCGCATTTTCATGAAAAAAAATAGATAAAACAAGCTTAGTCTTGATTGTCACGTTATGAATTCGGAATTATAGTCTAGTGTCAACTGTTATTGTCGCCAAGGAGCATATAGATGTCGCTGTCATACGAAATAAACATCACTTATTTTTATTTAATGGGAAATTATTTCCTATGTTCTATTAAATAAAAAATTAACAAAATATTGAAGAGATTTATGTAAATAAATAAGTTCAACTTAACTTTTAATCATTACAAATCAATATTTAGACAATAAATTCGAAAATAATTTTGTTTCCACACTATTTTAAGATTGCTAAATTTGACATAAGAACAATATTACTTTAATGTTAAAGTTGCGTCATAGTGCGAACTGGGTGAATGAATAGTCACAATAAAACAGCATATTATTATATGATTATCTTATATGTGCATTTCAATTTCAAACCGCTCGGCCGGGATGCGAATTTCAATCTTCCCGTAGCCTTAAGCTCTCTTTTCCTTTTTAAAAGGAAAAGGTGGGAAAGAGTCTCTTTTCCTTCTCACCGCACTGTTTTTTTGTCTAATTCTTTTACCCTTCATGCCATCCGTCTTTGGAACGCGCTCCTGCTCCATATAAGACAAGCTCAGACCAAATTATCTTTCAAGCGCAAATTGCGCAAGCATCTTTATGACAATTGTCAAAATCAAGACTCAGTATAATGTTGCTTTGGGTACATACATTATCTTATTACAATATATATGTAGGTTTATTATGTATGTATAATAAGTATGTTTATATTATGTTATTTATTTATACCATACAAATTATCGATTAGCTTTCTAGTATATTGTTCTTCTTGTTTAAGTGTAGCACTAACCTATTGTTTTTTTTGTTTGGCCCAATGGTTGACTGGTAGAGAATGCCTTATGGCATTAAGTCCGCCATTTGTAATTTAGTGTTTTGTACAAATCATAGTTTTAATATTATAATAAGTTTAAGCGCGTCATGGTACGTATGCCTCTTTCTAACAAATATAATAAGTGCATATTGAAAAAAATTGCTATACTTGTTTTTTATTTCATACTTACGTAGAATGCTTTTCACTCGTCTTTTGTATGTCCCGCTCGTACCGTTATTATAGTTGAAGCTACGAGGAGGGAATTACTAGTAATTGATCGCGATTGGTCAATGTGTCATTGCTATGAATTACATAAGTTTATTTGGTACGAAATTAAGGACATTGGTTTACCAGCAGGGCTAGCACCATAGGGTGTGTCGTGCATGTTATGTTGCTCTTATCGTTGCGAGAATAGCTGTATTTCGCGCTTATGTCTCACTCGCGCTCTGACGTGCTGGCGCTACAGGCCGCAGTCTTTTCAGGTATTTGATACTATCAAGTTATCTCTGTCGGCTTCGATGTGAGTGCGGATGTGTAATGCCGGATTTACACTTGTCTGACGTGTCGTGTCGTGACGCGTCAGAACGGTATCTGTTTCATACATTTCATATGGTTAGATTTATATTAGTGTGTCGCAATCAGACGTGACGGCTGTGTTGTGTGTATGAAATTGATATCGTTCTGACGAGTCACAATATGACAAATAAAAATCCGGCTTAATTTTATATTTTTTAACTCGATGCTCATTCATATAGTATGGTAGATTTGTAGATAAAACTCTTAAATATAAGGAATTTATTCTATTTCCTAGAGTCATGGTTTCAAAATGTACAAGTACAAAGTATGCTGTCTCGAAAATTTTGCACCGGCTCTTATCTTGTACTATGTAATTTAACAGAAAACGAACCACGACTCTAGGATATTAGATTTTAGATCGTGTCTACAAAATTTTATTGAATTTCTTTTGTTAGTACCTACATAAAACAGGATTAAACTGCATATATATGGAGCGTGCTTCCTAGACTACCCTCTTAGACTATGCATTGTACTAATAAAATCTTGAGGCTATTTTGAATTGAGATAAATGTAAATGATTACAGAGGTTTCCGAAATTTCCACTCATTGAATGTATAGTATAGGTATATGGAAAAGGTGTCGAGTGTGGTGAAAATATGTATATAGCATTGGTGTTTTGCAGAAGGGTCGGGGCGTAAGCGACATTTCGTAGATTTTATAATAGAACAGGTTTTGTTACAAAATTCTTTAGTTGTTAGATTAACTTTTAAAATTTTAATACAGGACGCAAATATTTTAAAACAGTTGGTAAAACCTAATAAAAATTACAAACTTTCGTTTACGCCCATTTACAAAAGCCGATGATAAATGGATGGATTTAGTGCGTTAGAAATATTTTCTACGATTTGTAATAATGCTACACAACGGTCACGCTAAAGTATAGACGCGCATTATTTATTATAGTACATTTACACACTATAAAAGTGATGCTGGCTCGCTTTACATTGGCGCAAACAGGCTAAACTCGTAAGAAACTCACATTAAATGTAAAACACTCGTGTGTGAGTGTCATCGAGTATATAACCACAAATAGAGACGAAATGTCATTTGTTTGAAAACTAATCTGCCATATCATTACTGTGACAACTGTGCTCCGATTGGCTAGCCCGAGTTCGAAACAACTAACGGTTGTCGTCAATGGGTGTCGTCAACTGTTTCACTTCAAATCGACCAGTTAACTTGAGCTTTGCTATAATGGACGAAAATTGCAAAATTACATATTTCATATTTAATTACCGATGAAATGTGATTCCGTTTGTTTTGTAATTAGATGTTTTGCTGTTTTTCCCACACAACCGAATAGAACAGCACGGCATTGTTAGAGATATTATCTTTATTGCAATAAATACAGAATATTTTTTGGAATATACTTAGACGTACACACAGGTCAGTAGTTGGCCTGTCTATATTTCAGTGCAAACGAGAGTTGACATTTATAAGAGCTGTATCGCTAATGTGTTACCAGGAATATATGGCCATTATTTCGTCTCTATTTCTGGTTATATATTCGATGGTGAGTGTGGACTCGACATCTCTTCTGCATTACAATCGCCCATAATAAAATTCAAAAGATTAAAATGTTTAAAAATACTGTCTAGACCCTAGAAATTAAATTATGATAATTCCGTCTTGTTGTAGTAATGAAATTTAAAGACCGTAAGTCAAATGCAAATTTTAATATTCTCATTATGATTGTATAAATTATCTGTGCCTCTACCATGAGATTACAGGTACAGTTGTCGCTAGCGACTTAGTAAAATGTTTAACAATTTTGTATGGCAAATTGATGAGAAGAAATAACATTTTGTATGCAAATATTTGACGCTGTCGCTAGTGACTGAGTGAGTGAACTATTGCTGTGGACTCATGGTACGGGCACTGTCTAATTTTACGCAAATATCGGCACGTTTTATTTGTAGAAATTGTTATAATTAATATTAAAGGTAATATATGAATTAGAATACTTAGGATTGGGCAGAAATTGATTAATTTGACGTGACTATGATAATGAATATACGTATAAATAAGTAAATTGTATTTTACAAATGGCTTCTTTTATTTCATCATTTTAGTAGTAGTAGAGCTTCTTGTGAAAGAGTTCGTCCAAGGACTTCTATCTTACGTATTTCTGCCACCAAGCAGTAATATGAGCATTTCTGCGGTTTTTAAGTGTAAGGGAGTCACCACACTCATCGACAAGGAATTGCATTAAGCCGGTCAGAAGAATCTTTATGTCAATGTAATTCTTCATTTATTTATTATATATTAATC